TGTTGAATCATAGATCTGTACTTCTGAAAGAAATAGTGCAACATATGTTAAGAGAAAAGAAAAAGAAGAAGATAGCAGGAGGGGAAGAATGTAGGGGAGTAAGTCGGAGGGGGAGATGAACCATGAGAGACGATGGACTCTGAAAAACAAACTGAGGGTTCTAGAGGGGAGGAGGGTGGGGAGATGTGTTAGACTGGTGATGGATATTACAGAGGGCACATTCTGCGTGGAACACTGCGTGTTATGCACAAACAATGAATCATGGAACACTACATCAAGAACTAATGATGTAATGTATGGTGATTAACATAACAATAAAAAAAATTTTTTAAATGATGGGTATTCATCCTATTTAATGGCTGAGTAATCTCCTACCTGAATCAACCAAAAACAGAAAATGGACAAAATATATTACAAAAATGATACCAGATGGAAATATATGAATGATATGAACCGTCAGAAAGCTGTTAATACAAGGTGGGGGGGAGCTGCTACAAGGGCAGACAGACACAGAGGGGACCAAAGGATGGATAGAAAGACAAACAGCAAAACCAGAGATGACCAGACACAATGAAAACCCTCCAGAAATTCACAAGAGATATGAGGACTGGGGTGGAACTTGGCTTCTCACAGGACAAAGGATGGAGACCTCAGTCTCTGGGGCTGATAGCTGGGTGCCCTCCTTAACTACCTCTTTATCTCACTCTATCGCGATTTACTCAGCAAGTCTTGCCAGTTACAAGTTCAAGACACACTCAAAATCCAACCATTTCCAACCCCTTCACTGCTGCCACCCTGGACCGAGCTCCTATCAACTCTCACATGGACACCAGCAATAATTTCCTCACCTGCCTGATCCCAACCTCCCAGGTCCCTATGCCATCCCTGCCTATTGTGCACACCACAGTCAGCAAGAGAATCTTACCATGTGGAGGAAGAGAGGATGGTTACTTGCTTTGGTCAGTCTTCCCTCCTCATACATAAGCACCAAAAAAGCAGGTTCTTCTATTTCTGTTCATTGCTGTGTTCACAGGGACCAAGCAGGGCCATAGTTTGTACAGTTAGAACAAAATAAATATTTGTTAATGAATTACATAAGCAGATATGGAACTGTACCTTAAACTTCTGGTAAAGGAATATAGGAACTGAATTTTGCATCTGTTTGTGGGACTTCGGGAGGCTCAGGGCTCTGGAAATCATGTTTGCTTTGTCATCAGCACTGACTCTACAATGGCCTGTTCACAAGGTTCACTGAATGAACTAGTGGAAAGAATGTACGATAGGGTTACTAACTTACAAGGTGCCTACAACTGACCTGGGTAGAATACGGATGCTGTAATATCCCCATGCACAGGAGCAGGGGATGAGTAAAGAGTAGAGTTCATATGTCTTGTCAAGTCTACAGGAAAGACACTATTCAGCATGGACTGACTGAATTCCGTACCAGCGATGCAAGGTACAAAGGTGATGAAGATAACTGTTGTATTCAGGGACTAAGAAAATTGGAGGCGCCTCTGCCTCTATAAGGTGGTGAACAAGTGAAAGTACCTCGATGGTGTACCTGTCCTGAGGGAGATGCACAGAGGGAGAAATTGGGAACCACAGAGAAGTGAGTGATGATCCTTATCTGAGGAGGCCAGGTGGTGAAGGAAGGACTTATGAGAAAGATTTTCCTTGAGCTGAACCAAGTTTATGAGGACGTTTCGCAGATGAGAACAAAGCACATTTGGTGAAAAAGGTACAATGGATCCTAGGAGGAAGCTAACAAAACAGGGATGGACAGGAATCGCTTGTAGCACGTGTTCCTCTAAGGACAGAAACTGCTTTCCAGAATCCTGGACACTCCTCCTCTCAAACTCACCATTTTCCCCAATACAAAGTGAGCTACAAAGTGGATAAGAGAGTTGAAAACATCATGAGACATAATCAGGGAGGGGAATCAAATATTTGACATCCACCCCAGGTTATGGGAGGACTGACGCATGCATGTAATGCACAGTATTCGCTTTTATCATCAGCACTTAGAAGGGAAGAAATTGTCTTAAAAACACCTCTGGCCCAAAGCAGGACATGGCTGCTGGGAGGCTCCCTGTGGGTCCACACAGTGTTCTTCCTGGTTGTACAGTACCTGATGCGTCCCCATTGGAGCGCCTGTCTCCTTTGCTCTAAATTCAATTTGGGCAAAAAGGAGGACAGAATCTGATACCCAATATTATTCCTCAGGAAAGACATGAGGTACATCCTAACTAAGTGGTTGATGGTCCTTATTTTCTGATTAAAATAGAAAACTGGGAGGGGGTCAAAGGGGCAACAGATTTGCACTTTGCAGATACAGAGACTTTACATTAGGGTCAGAGTTAAAACCCACAGGCCAGGACCACGATGCCTCAAGTAAATAAGTACTTGAAGTCAGTAGGAGACACACATGTGTGGAGCCTCCTTATAAGCCTCAGTATTGTAGGAAAACAGTTCTCTACAAGAGGAGAGTCCATACCTGTCAGGTAAGCTCTGTGGGGTGTGGGGAGGTGTGGCTGCAGAAATGGGTCCTCTCCATGCCCTGGTGACAAAGAAAGAAGTCTCCTGGTTTGAAGCAAAAAGCAGCTCCTGTGCCCAGGTGGTGCCTGCAGCTCACACCTGAGGTTAGCAGTGGAAT